ATACAGGGCAGGGAGAGAGAGAGAGAGAGAGAGAGAGAGAGAGAGAGAGAGAGAGAGAGAGAGAGAGAGAGAGAGAGAGAGACGTATGCACGCACGCACACACGGCACACTACCCCCCCCCCCCCCGGCCCCCCTCCCTTCCAGGTTTACCCACAGTCGACCGCCGCGCTGCCCGCCCTACTCGAGACGGTGAGATCTAGCCGAGATCCAGCCGAGATCTAGCCGAGATCTAGCCGAGATCTAGCCGAGATCCAGCCGTGATCTAGCCGAGATCCAGCAGAGCTGCGCCCTTTGCTCCCCGCCTCTGCTCAGAGCACGGCACCACGCCGCTCCCCCGCCCTGCCCTTGGTGCCTTCACACTCGGTGCCATCCCGGCTTGGTCGTCACACGTGTGTGTGTGTGTCTTCACACTCGCGTCTTCACACTCGCCTCTTCACACTCGCCTCTTCACACTCGCCTCTTCACACTCGCCTCTTCACACTCGCGTCTTCACACTCGCGCCTCACCGCAGGTGCGGAATGCCACCGCGCCTCTCGGCCGCGCGCTTCTGCTCTACGTCGAGAGAGACGCGCGCGTGAGCGAGGCGCCCCGCCTCTGCCCCACCGCTGTGAGCGTGGGTCCCGCTCCGCTGACCGCACCGTGAGCTTCGCCGCCAGGCGCTCGGCGCCGGCCTGAGGGGCTTCGGCGGCGCGTGCGGCAGAGTCGAGCTGGGCGCAAAGGCGGCCCTCTTTGAGTTGGGCGGCGCGGGCGGCGGCGCGGGCGGCGGCAGGCCGAGAGGCTGCGACGCGGTGCCGGGGGGCGGACGCGTCGGCGCGTGCTGACGCTACGAGTCCTTCTCGCTCCCCCGCCGGCGCCCCGCTCCCCCCCCCTCCCTCCTACGCCTCCACGCCGGGGGTGCAGATGTACGCCCGTCGCGGGGGTGGAATGGGTCATCCGCACAGGTCGGACCGTTGTGATTTGGTCTCTCTCTCCACTCTCGTGTCGGTGTGACGTCTGACGAGGTGTGCTTTCCCGCTGCGCGCTGCGGTAGCGGCGCTGGGGCCTGCGCCTGGCCGGCTTGGGGCTTGGGGCTTGGAGGGTGTGGCCAGGGTGTGGCCCACTGTGGGGCTCGAGGGGGATCTCTCTCCCCGTCCTTCAGCGGGGGTCTTGCCCTCTATTTTCTTAAAAAAGGTATCATAAATGTTCCCGCCCGCCTCACCTCACGGGGATGCCACCTTTCCCA